ATTAACAGAGCAACAAAGAAACACATCACGGCGCGGCGACGGGTGACGAATGGGCAAGCCGGGAATGCAAATAGAGAGACTTAGAACGCCTTACTTTCAAAATAAGACGGCGACGCGGGAAAGGGAAGCATACCTTGATTGTTGCCTTGCCTATCGCTCCACTAGCCGCGGTGATAAGGATGGTTTTTGGCGCCATGATCTGAGCTTATCAGGGTGCGTCACAAGGCTTGAATTTGAATTCCCTGTGAAACAGGAAAACTGGGGATATCCGAGCACTTCTTGAAATTCCTGATAATCTTGAAGCCGAATGGCGACATTATATAAGCTTCAGGTATGCGAGGAAAACACCGACGCATTACTGGGAAATTCGAGCAGCAGAAGAAGCTCCTAGGCGCTCGATGACTTGCCATTCGCAACTTCCTCGCAGCAGACATGCAAGCTGTCGCGCGATGGTTTGGAGGATAAACTTCTGCGACGAGAACGTTGTCGCCCAGCGACGCGTGCTTCTCGACTGTTCCACGAACCAGAAACAGCTTCGCCGAAATTGATACACCAACAGCTGATACTCTGTATCAGGTGTCTCGGTTCTGCTCTCTGTATCGTGTGCGTTAATTCCGTTCCCTGTATCATATGTATCGGTTTTGTTTGAAGTATTCACAGGTACACTTCACTGAGTCCAGCAAGTATGAATCGTCCTCAATCATCCCGCCACCATTTCAGATTTGACACCACAAAATCCGCCACCAGTTGACCGTTGCTCGCAGTTCACTCCATTGCGGTTGAGTAGTTTTCAAAGCGTTTGATTGACTTGACTAAAGGGTTGAATAGGGTTTCAACCTAAAAAAGTTATTCTGAACGCCTCAGTCTCTTATTTCTGCCAAGCGACGGAGTGTCACTAAAATTACGCCAACCAATTTGTAGCAGCGTGATTCGCGGAGCAGTCGCCTCTACCCTTCCCTTCAGCAGATCTACCCTAAGGAAGAGGACTCACACGCGAATTCCGATCCCTACTGGTCTCCAGCGACCGCTCAAAACAAGCATCGTCTTTCACGATGGGACCTCAAGACGATGTCTCTCTCTCCTTCGATACGAATCCGAATCTCACCTTCCCGCAGCATCGAAGGCCACAAGGAACCCATCAGCAGCAGCCCATGTCGTTCCCGCCGCAGCCAGGAATGGGTCCAGGTCCAGGGCTAGGTTCGGGCCCAGGCTTCGGCCCAGGCCTAGGTTCGGGTCCAGGTTCGGGATTTGGCCCGGCAGCTGGTGGTCCACCAGGCGGCAACATGGCGTTTATGTCTTTCGATATGAGCAAGCCCAGTGAGTGTATAAGTGGAAATTTTGTGATTATAAAGGGGTGGAGCTAGTTGTGGCGGCGATATGGTTAGTAAGGCAATGACCGAAAGCCCAGGAGCTGGTGGGGTTCGTACACTCATTACCCTTACCCACACTCGTCGCTGTTACAGCACGTTTGTCACGATTTGTTCTTAGCTTCTCGAATCTTGCATCCCGTTTCTCGCAGGTGCGCTGGCTCCCACGTCCGTTATCGTCACAATACGTTTTGTCACAACTCGTTTTTGTTTATCGTTTTTCGTTTATCGTTTCCCGTGTCTCGCAGGTGCCTTGGCGCCTCCCCCGCAGGCGGGCCCTCGCTTCGGAGGCCAGTCGCAGTACGACGGGTCTGGCGGGCTGTTCGGCCAGAACTCGTTTGAAGACGAGCTGCCTCTGCTGGAAGGTAATAACTCGTTATAAGGTGATGCGGCTTTAGCAGTACGACGGGTCTGGCGGGCAAGCTCGTTTGAACCCGAGCTGCCTCTGGTGGAAGGTAGCTCGTTATAAGGTGATGCGACGATTGAGTCCACTCATCGCGGCTCAGCAGGCAGACAGCGGTATGGCAAACCCCCCTCTCTCGCCCTTCACCTCCTCCCTTCACCTCACCTACTTCTCATCCCCAACAAAGCTGGGAGTAAACATCCCTCAGATTTTGAGAAAGACCGTGACTGCGCTGAACCCCATCCGCACAACATTGATCTCTACGACGATGCGATAGAGACCTCATGTGAATCAGATTTGACCGCCCACCTTTCTCCCTATCTGTCCCTTGATCCGCGTCTTTCCAACAATAGAGCTCGGAATCAACATCCCTCAGATCCTGAGGAAGACCGCCTCGGCGCTGAACCCCATCCGCATCAACATTGACCTCTACGACGATGTGGTGGTGACCCATGTAAATTACTTGGCAAACCCCTCTCGCTATCCCTTAACCTCCACTCCCCTTTCACCTCACATCTTTCCTCTCCCCAACAGAGCTGGGAATCAACATTCCTCAGATCCTCAGAAAGACCGCCTCAGCTCTGAACCCCATCCGAATCAACATCGATCTCTACGACGATGGGGACCTGTCCGGCCCGCTCATCTTCTGTGTGCTCTTCGGCCTCTGCCAGCTCATGGTACGTTTTGTGTCGTCGAATCGTCTCATGGTGTGATAGAGCATCACTTAACAGCTTCAGCCGTACAGGGCAGCAAGTTAGACCTGTCCGGCCCGCTCATCTTCTGTGTACTCTTTGGCCTCTGCCAGCACATGGTACGACTTGTTGAGAAATTCTGCCATGTCGGCCCTAGTGGAAACCGAGATGATTATCCTTACACCTCTATTTTTGAGTCAACTCAATGATTATCCATAACCCTCTATTTTCCCATGTCGTCCATTCTGTCGTGCGTGGCAGCATGCCAAGGTGCACTTTGGGGTGGTGCTCGGGTGGTCTGTGGTGGCATCAACTTTCATCTACACCGTTTTCAACCTTCTCGTGGGAGCGAGGTGCGTACTGAGTGGGGGTGAGGTGGGCAGTGAGTGGGGATGAGGTGGGCAGTGAGTGGGGATGAGGTGGGCAGTGAGTGGGGTTGAGGTGGGCAGTGAGTGGGGGTGAGGTGGGCAGTGAGTGGGGTTGAGGTGGGCAGTGAGTGGGGTTGAGGTGGGCAGTGAGTGGGGTTGAGGTGGGCAGTGAGTGGGGTTGAGGTGGGCAGTGAGTGGGGTTGAGGTGGGCAGTGAGTGGGGTTGAGGTGGGCAGTGAGTGGGGTTGAGGTGGGCAGTGAGTGGGGTTGAGGTGGGCAGTGAGTGGGGTTGAGGTGGGCAGTGAGTGGGGGTGAGGTGGGCAGTGAGTGGGGTTGAGGTGGGCAGTGAGTGGGGTTGAGGTGGGCAGTGAGTGGGAGTGAGAGATGCGGTGAGTGGGAGCGAGAGATGCGGTGATTGGGAGCTGTTCCGCTGCTGTTTCCTAGTCTCCTTCCCACTCTCCCCCAACTCCTCTCCCACTCTCTCCCGCACTCTCTCCCCCAACTCCTCCCCCACTCTCTCCCCCACTCTCGCCCCCACACTCTCCCACTTTTCTCCCTCACTCAGATCAGTGCAGGCAGGCCTGGACCTGTACCGCTGCTGCTCCATCTTTGGCTATGGGCTGTTGCCCATGGTGCTCTACTCCGCCATCTCCATCTTCTTCCCTCGAAGGTACGTGACACATGTGTAGAGTTGCAAGACATTAATGGTGGTGACTTTGGGCTGCTGTCCATGGTGCTCTACTCCGCCATCTCCATCTTCTTCCCTCGAAGGTACGTGACACATGTGTAGAGTTGCAAGACATTAATAGTGGTGACTTTGGGCTGCTGTCCATGGTGCTCTACTCCGCCATCTCCATCTTCTTCCCCCGCAAGTGTGTCACACATCAGTAAGTATAAAACACATGATCAATCTGACTCTCGAGTCGACTCCCCCGCAGGTGTGTAACACATCAGGAAGTATAGAACACATGATCAATGATTCATTCAAGTGAAGGTAACATGTTAATGGCCTGCTGCCCATGGTGCTCTGCTCTACTCCGCCGTCTCAATCTTCTTCCCTCGCACCGCAGGTGTGTGACACATCAGTAGGTATGTAAAATGTCAACTAGGAGCAGACATTCATGGGCTGCTGCCCATGGTGCTCTACTCCGCTGTCTCCATCTTCTTCCCCTGCAGGTGTGTAACACAACACACGTATAGGTAGTAACACACTGGTTACTTTTCTACCATTGTGTCCCTTTTCATGCTTGTAACAGGGGGGTGTTAACAGCAGTGGCAGCAGCGGTGGCCATAGTATGGTGCACGCGGACAGCAGCGTCTCTCCTCGTGGCGATTGTCCCACAAGCGGACGACGTGCGAGCACTCATTGCCTTCATGTGCATCGTTACCTACTTTTGCTTTGCACTCCTTGTGTTGTTCTGAACACATACATACATACCTGCGGTAGTAACAAGTGGGTGGTTTAGTGTTCTGTAACGAAAATCACATTTACCATACACTGGCAAATATATGGCTGCAGCCATGCGAGTTATGGGGAAAACGGGTGAATGTCTATATATAATGTCAAGTGCACGGTTCGTATCAGGTGTATCGTTGATAACAATAGACTTCTGGACCATCTAACCTAGAAATTGCTATTTCTTCTGCTGTAGACGCATTTTTTGGACTTTATGGTAGATTACATAGCAAACAGTGAACTGGCATTAGCGTACCGTGTATTCATCGTCAATTTTGGTAACTGAATGTGCTGGCGAAACGGTTGCGAACAGGCTGGTCTGGTCTCAGGCTATAGCACGTTTCGCCTTCAGCTGTACAAAAAGCCGTCTATCGTAAAACTATGAAAGCTTGAGTACACGACTATCGCTGAACTGCGCAAGAATTACCTGTTCAATACCGTACTTCCTTCTATAGAGTATCCAGTACACAGTACGCCCCAATATCCAGAGGCGCTTCCATCTTTGCGCAGGTCACTCACTGCAGTGAGCCGCCCAGCGAGAGACAAATTTTAAGCCCCACAATGTTTCATCTTGTCCTCACCAGTCAGTACCGTAGTACCCTGCAGGACCACCATCCTTACGCGGGCGGGTTGCTCTGCTCACCACAGTGAGCCGCCCAACCGACGCTTATAGAGGCGCCTCAATACATCTCACAGAGATCGAGACCCTAAGCCGTCAGTACCCAGCAGGACCACCATCCTTGCGCGGATCACTCACTGCAGTGAGCTGCCCAAACAGCGGAGGCGGAAAGTTTGGCTCAGCCATCGCAAGCTTGGCTGCTTTCTGGTCTGATATGAGTTTCCTGCCGGGTCCATGAGATGGCACTGCTGCAGCAGAGTCGAGCCTTTGCTCGGCACTGGGAGGACCGTCAAGCTTCTGCAGAGCAACACTTACTGCAGGGCCGTCCAGGTCTTGCACGATAAACTGAACGAAGCCCCCGAATTGAATGGGGAAGGTGGTGTGGTTGCGGCGGGTCAGGGCAGCGAGGGTTGCGTTGGGCACTGAGATGCGCTCGCCATCATCGAGGGCGTGGCCCGCCTCGTAGAACACCGTGTTGGGGAGCAGCTGGGGGGAGAAAGGGGGAGTGTGGTGGGGTATGGGACGTATTGACCACTGAGATGAGATGCGCTCTCCATCGTCGAGAGCATGACCTGCCTCGTAGAACAACGTGTTGGGGAACAGCTGGTGATAGGGAGGAAGGAGGGGCATGTGGAAAACGGGAAGGGAATGAGATGGGGCAGCGAGGGTTGCGTTGGGCACTGAGATGCGCTCTCCGTCGTCGAGAGCGTGGCCCGCCTCGTAGAACAGCGTGTTGGGGAGCAACTGGTGGGGGGGGGGGAGAGGAGGGGCACATGGGATATGGAAATCAACTGTAAGCTGACTTATAGATTGCGCACTGAGATGCACTCTCTGTCGTCGAGAACGTGGCCCCCCTCGTAGAAGGGCGTGTTGGGCAGGGGCTGGAGGAGGAAGGGGGAGAGGAGGGGCACATGGACGCTTTTCATCATCGAGAGCGTGACCCGCCTAGTTGAAGAGCGTGTTGGGGGGAGGCTGGAGGAGGAAGGGGGGGGATATGGGAAGTATTTATCAGCTGAGTGATTCACTGACTGGGAAGTGAGATGCGCTCGCCATCTTTGAGAGTGTGACCCCCGTTGTGGACCAACGCTTTTGGGTAGCAGCTGGAGGGGAAGCAAAGGGGAATGTGGGGTATGGGAGGTATTTATGAGCCTTTTTCATCGTTGGAGGGACATACCGGATGTGCATGTGTATGCGCATATCCATCTATGTGTTGATGTGGAAGCAGGGTCCAAAGCATGCCATGAGCTGTCAAAAGAGGACAGGTGGGCTGCGGAGGCCTTACTTCCATCTATGTGTTGATGTGGAAGCAGGGTCCAAAGCATGCCATGGCTACTCACCTGGTGGTGGATACGAGGGGCGTCAATGGCCTTGAAGGGTGAATAACCCTGGCAAAAGAAGTGCAGGATCACTTGCAGAACAGCCGAAATAATCACTGTTCCTCCAGCCCCACCAACCACAGCTTTCAGCTGCCCGTCCTGTAGCACAATAGCCGGAGCCATGGACGACAACGGTCTCTTTCCTGCCCGGATAAAATTAGCTGGGGCGGGCGGCGGCTCAAACGGCATCGGGATCCTGCCCGGCCGGTAGGGCAGCGAAAAATCCGCCATTTCATTGTTGAGAACTATCCCTGATTGGGATGCCATCCTGCCCGCTCCCCAGGGGCCGTTTACTGTAGATGTTATAGAGACTGCCATTCTATCCTGATCCACCACACATGTGTGTGACGTGCCGTGGTCGTCTAGCTGGGCGTATAGTTGGTGGCGGTGCGGGTGGCGTTTTTTGTCCTCTTCTGACTCGTCCTCGGGGTGGCCGTAGTGTTCGGGCGGGAAGGTGATGTTGTCGTGGATGGCGGATCGAAGCCGGGCGGCAAACTCGTCTGAAAGCATGTCTGGATGCAGGGATAAGAAGATGGAGTGAGAAGAGGATGCATGGAAAGGGGGATGCAGGGAGTGAAAAATGCAGGGAGAGGGATATGCGGAAAGAGGGAGATGCAGAGGGGATAACGAAAAGGAGATGCAGAGGGGAACAAGGAAACGATTTACCAATACACGAGCCAAGGTGAGACTGGAAAAAGGATGTGGAGGGTCACTGAACACAGAATGAGCATGGTGATATTGAATCGATCTCTAACTTGGAAATCAAAAGTACCTTGGATGACATCAGTAACGTTGACAAAGGCAGGATCCCCCAGGTGCATGCGCAGCGCAAACGCATGCTTCAAGCTCTCCACCACCCGATGCAACCCCAACACTCCTGCTGACGCCAGAGGAAGCTCATACCCCTGGAGAATCTTCAACACCTGTAGAATCACCGCCCCTCCTGACGATGGCGGGGGAGCCATCAGGAAATCCAGCCCAAACGCCTTCCCCACAAGCACCTCCCTCACTTGCGCCTGGAAATCCTCCAAATCCTTCTCAGTCAGTATCCCTCCCATTGCCTGGATTTCTTTTACTAGAGCTCTCGCCCGCTCCCCTCGGTGCAACGCATCTGGGCCTGTCGCTGCTATGGCTTTAAGAGTGGCTGCTAGGGCGGGGCGGTAGCAGGTGTCTCCCTTTCTCAGAAGCTTCCCTCCAGGAGCAAAAACGGCACTGAGTCCAGGGTCTGAGAGGATGGTTGCGTTGCTGGCAGCTATGGAGTTTGCCAGGTAAGCTGCCACGTGGAAGCCACTCTCTGCCATGTCAGCGGCTGGCGTCACGAGGTCGCGCCACGTCAGCCTGCCGTGCCGCTGCCACGCCAGGTAAAGCCCTGCGATCTCCCCAGGTACTCCCACTGAGAGTCCTCCCTTTCTAATATCCTCCTCGTGCCCCTCAAACATGTCCTGTGGGAAGAATGAAGGTGAAGAAGAAAAGTAGTGCGTTAACACACGTCAGAACTCCCACCAAAAGGTCTCCCTTTCTGATATCCTCCTCATGCCCCTCAAACATGTCCTGTGGGAAGAAAATGGTGAAGGGAGAAGAAGAAGAAGAGGGTTGAGGGGTTCACCTCGCCCATGCACAGCACTGCGGCAATGTATTTTTGAGAATTCTCAAAAATACCCTGCAGCGGCATTGCCTACGTGACCCTCAAAGTTAACCCAAGCACCCCGTGTATCCCCATGTACCACTTCAAGTAAAGTACCTGGCGAGCAGCGACAGTAGCCGTCTCTCGGCTGTCTATAAACTCTGCAGTGCTGTCGGGCGAGAGGATGAGGATGAACGCACCCCATGCACCCTTGAGTAACCCTCAGTACTCCCGTGTATCCCCATGTACCACTTCAAGTACCTGGCGAGCAGCGGCAGTAGCCGTCTCTCGGCTGTCAATAAACTCTGCAGTGCTGTCGGGCGCGTGGATGAGAATAAACGCACCGCAGGCCACCCCAAGCAATTTCTGAGGCGCCTAAAAAATCATCCCAAGCAACCAAACCACGAGTACGCCCACCTACCCCCAAGTACCCCTGAATCGGAGGTCAACCTAGTCACCTGGTGAGCTGCGGATGAGAATGAGCGTACCGCACCGCAGGGCCACCCCGAGCAACCACACCACGAGTACACCCATCCACCTACCCCCAAGTACCCCTGAATCAGAGGTCAACCTAGTCACCTGGTGAGCTGCGGCAGGGGCGGTCTCTTGGCAGTCAAAGAACTCCGCAGAGCCGTTGGCCGAGCGGATGAGGATGAACGCACCCCCACGTCACCCCAAGAACCGACAAGTGTACCCCAAAGCACCCCCAAGTACCCCTGACTCAGAGGTCACCCCAATCACCCCACTCACCTGGTGAGCAGCGGCAGGGGCGGTCTCTCGGCAGTCAATAAACTCTGCGGAGCCGTTGGCTGATCGAATAAGAATGAACGCACCGCCACCAATGCCGCTCGCCATGGGGTTCACCACGCCCATGCACAGCACTGTAGCAATGCCTGCATCCACTGCACTCAACCCTCACTACTGCCCCAACAACCCCGATCATCCCTATCAATCCAAGCACCAAGTACCAAGTGCGAAGCCTCAGTACCTAGTGGGCAGCGGCAGGGGCAGTCTCCCGGCAGTCAATGAACTCAGCAGAGCCGTTGGCCAAGCGGATGAGAATGAACGCACCGCCACCAATGCCGCTCGCCATGGGGTTCACCACGCCCATGCACAGCACTGTAGCAATGCTGGTCACTCCAATCACCCGAATCGTCCCTACTGCCCCAACCACCCCAATCATCCCTATGAACCCAACCAGCCCACGTACCCAAACCATCCTAAATACGAGGGAAAAAACGCCCCTGTACCTGGTGAGCAGCAGCAGGAGCAGTCTCTCGGCAGTCAATGAACTCAGCAGACCCGTTGGGGGCGCGGATGAGAATGAACGCACCGCCACCAATGCCGCTCGCCATGGGATTCACCACGCCCATGCACAGCACCGTGGCGATGCCTGCATCCGCCGCGTTCCCGCCAGATTTCAGAATCTTCTTTCCGATCTCGGAACATCGGGGGTCCTCTGAAGCTACTGCTGCATGATCTGCCTCCACCACTGCTGCTGCTGCTGCTGCTGCTGCTGCTAATTTTGCAGGTTCTGCTTCTGCTGCCGATGCTGCTTCTGCTGCTGATGCTGTCGCTGCCAGACCTTCCACTGCCGAACTGCTCACCCGAGCCTGCCAGCTGGACAGTAGCCGAGCCTGCCAGAGAGGCTTGGATTCGGTCAGTATTTCGTCGACAAGGCGGAGCGACCCGGGAGACCAGCCGCTCTGGAGAGCGACTCCAGTCAGGGTGCAGAGACCCAGAGCGAGCAGCGTCAAAAGCAGCCCTGAAACACAAAGGTTGGAATGGGGGAGAGGACAAATGAACTTTCAGTTGGGTCAGTATTTTGTCAACAAGGTGGAGCGACCCAGGAGACCAACCGCTCTGGAGAGCGACTCCGGTCAGGGTGCAGAGACCCAGAGGAGCAAGCAGCGTCAAGAGCAACCCTGAAACACAAAAGGAATGGATGGAAGGACAAATGAACTTTCAGTTGAGTCAGTATTTTGTCGACAAGGTGGAGCGAGCTGGTAGACCAACCGCTCTGGAGCGCGACTCCGGTAAGGGTGCAGAGACCCAGAGCAAGCAGCGTCAAGAGCAATCCTGAAACACAAAGGTTGGAATGGAGGAGAACGATCAAACTTCAGTTCGGTCAGGTTGCATAGACCTGAAGATAGACAAAACGAGGTTCAAAACCATGAAATCCAGCCGGTTCTTTCTGGAGAGGCAGCCTGGTCGGTGTGCAAAGGCTACAGCTAGCAATGCCAACAGGAGCGCTGAGAACGAAAGATGCGGCAAGATAAAGTAAGGACAGCCAGCCTGGCTAGGATGCACTTCGTAACGTGATTGAAGAAGTGTTTTGAGACGTCTAAAAACAGTTCTTCAATAAAGATGCGGTAAGATAAAGTAAGGACAGCCAGCCTGGCTAGGATGCACTCCGTAACGTCAACCGCAGCGCTTATATAGCGAACAGAAACAATCAGCTGAAGCGGAACTGAACGTGATGAGATGAGATAGCAAATGCAGCAGGAAAGCCCACAAAGGCTACATTTGCTGCTCCCTGGCGATTCTTAAGTCAACTGAAAAACGAAATGGCTGAGAAATTTCTAAGCACGGACCATAGAAGCTGTGCCTGTCGCTCCGTCGATCCTGCTGCTCCTCTTCCTCCGGCAGTGGCTGGACACGTGGAAGAAGCTCCGGATCCATCGGATGCCAGAACGAACCAGACACGCAGCGGACGCAAAACGAGCTAGCCACGCAGCGGACGCGAAACGAAATTTTTGTTCGAGGCCCTGCCTGGCTTGAAGCCACGCAGCCGGTTCCGTCGAGCGTTTGACGGATGACTAGCCGTTGAGCAGAGGTCGAGTTTCCGTGCAATGTTGGACTGTCAACTGAATGTCAGATCGGTAATCTTGGCGAAATGGTGACCCAAGACCTGCACGAATAATTACGTGTCAAGTGCGACGAAGATATGCATCAGGAGTCACGTGTAAGAATGGTACGCTTTGAATTTGACCGTGAATTACCGCGAGTTATTGCCAGAAGTAGCAACAAGAAAGAAAGAAGTTTCAAAACAAGATCACTGAAAAGAAGATTCAAAACACGATCACTGAGCGAGGCGCTAGTTCAAATCCCTAAAGAGCCGACCTTGTCAAGCTGGACCCGCGATCGCAGGATTCAGCGTGAGATTACAAGCTGACGTGGCTCAGCTTCATAGATACAGCCAAAGCAATCACAGAATCCTTACTCGTATATCATCACGAGTGTAGAATCAGACACTCGATCGCTACCACCGTCTCTGACTGCACTGGAGTTCACAAAACATTGTCCTTGGTGTCCAGAGTTGGGCGAAGGTGGTGCATTCCGTTTGTAAGTGCTCGGACTTCAAGATGGGTTACACACGATTTTTTGCAATGCTGTTCGTTACGGTGTGGTGCAGTGTGGTTGTCGCTGGATGATGAGTGGATCCACGTCTCTAGTACAGGACGGCAGGATGAAAGAGCTGTGGGGGAATGGGGGAGGGGGTGTGACACTGGCCACGGCGAAAGCAAAGTGGCTGTTACGCTGTGTTCGCGAACAACATCAGTTCGTCGTGACAACAGCTTCAACAAATGGCGTTTTGGGTGCTGTGGCAAGAGCATCAGCTCCTGGCAGCGAGGAGGTGGCAAGAGCTGACCTCGAAATTCACTCCTGGCAGCAAGAAGCGACTGGGGACGTCATCGAATTCGGACGAATGGTCGACGCCACTTCAAACGTGTGGCTCACATTCGTTTCGTACTCGCTTGCGACAATGTGCGACAAGCCTAACCTGTCAGTCTCCGTCAAGGAAAATTCACTAGTACAAATTCACCAGTACAAGTGACGCGCGTCTACATAATCTGAATCTCAACACAACAGCATTCTATCTTCACCTTTGGAGTTTGACCAAAGAAGCTTCAAGCAACTAACCGTAACCTATCTGTAGCAAATAAAAACTACGCTCATGCGAGCATGATCAAGGCTAGGAAACCAGCAGCTCCAGCGAAGATGGCAGCCAACAACGAGGATTGTCTTTGTGCAGGCTTCACAGGCAATGCTGGAATGTCCTCCGGCATCACGCACTCCTCGCCATTGAAAACAATTTTCTGCAATTGCAAACCAACACATTAGATCATCAACTGCAAACCCAACTCCAGCCCCCTCAACCCTCAAGGTAAAAGGAAGGTTTCTTAAATCCCAACGTAATAGACATGCCTTCCTGCAACTCACCCTAGGGAAGACCCATCCGTCTTCGAGCGTGAACTCTGACGTCTTGGCAAAGAGCATTTCCGACTGCACGTTGCCGCCCTTGCCAGCTGGCATGAGCACATCGTTGTACTGCTTCATGCCAAAGAAGATGGCCGTGTTGTTCACTCCGTACGGCAGGATATTCTCCGCCTTCCAACTAAACACGTCCGTCAGATTGCCCATGTTTGGGTGCTGTGGGGGACAGACAGAAGGGAAACAGAGGGACAAAGTGAGGTACTGCTTCATGCCCCAGATGATGGCCGTGTTGTTGACACCATAGGGCAAGATGTTCTCCGCCTTCCAACTGAACACGTCCGTCAGATTGCCCATGTTCGGATGTTGTGGGGGACAGACAGAGACAGGCAAACGGGACAGCCAGACATAAGATGTATTAGTGAGAAATACATGGCAGCAAGACAGGTCAGCAGCAAAATGTTCAGTCTGCTTGACTCAATGGCAGAGTGCTTTTCCCATTGCACCACCCACCGACCCATTTCACTACCCATCTCCACCACTAACACATACCTCAACAACAACATTCCAGTTGGTGTGGTTGTCCCACAGGCTCCTATTAATGATGGTGATCTTGGCTCTCCAGAAGCCCTCGTAATTTTGCTGCACCATGACAGCAGGGCATAAAGGGGACAAGGCAGGTAAAGGAACAGGCATCTCGTAAGTTGTAACACTGGCAAACTCCTAACAGGTTGGGCATGGGACCCGCCCCATGCACTCCACCTGTTCACACACCCCTGCCCCAGCATCACCTCCCAGCTTTACTCGCACTTGTTCAACACCCCTCCCCTCTTCCTCTCCTCTCATCCTCTCACTCTCTTCCCCTCTCCTCACCTTGAAGTGGTACTGGATGCTGATGGGGCATCCATCCCACTCACACACCCCCACTCCCTGTATCTCCCTCTCCCCAACTCCTTGCCTCCCCAGCTCCTTGCCTCCCTCTCCCTAATTCTCCCAGTCCTGCTCTCCAGGAATGCTGATGGGGCACCCAGCCAGAATGCACTCACTTATCCACACACACACACACACACACCCCTACTCCCTGTTTCCTCCTCTCCCCCATTCCCTCGCTTCCCCTCCCCCTTTTTCCCCCTCCTCTCGCCTCACCTTGAAGTGGTAGTGAATGCTGATGGGGCACCCGTCCGGACTGCATTCCATGGCCGTTTGATCAGTCTTCAACTCCAGCCCATCCCCACTCGGCGTCGACATCAGATACGGCACCTTGCCGCCCGTCGGCACGCACACAATCGAGCTCGCCGAGTAGTTCCCACATGCGCACGCGCAGCTCGCGCACGGTATTATCGTGTCGTTGTAAAACGATGATAACGACACGCAGCATTTCGGTGGGTCTCGCTTCTGAATCGAGCTGTAGGTGCACACGATGTGGTAGGTCACTTGGGCCTGGGTTTCCCGGCGAGTGGTAGGGTCGGTATAGATGGTGGAGTTGACTTGGAATGGGTCTGTGCACTTGTATCCGTCCACGCCCAGGCTGAAATTGCCCGGAGGCACGAAGTTCCACACCGTGCTCGTGGCATTACCGACGTTGATCTGCGGGACGGGAGGGAAAGTGAAGGAGGGAAAGAGAAGTGCAAGGAACGAAGGGAGGGGAGAAGAGGGGAGTGGAGGCTGAAATTGCTTCGAGGGACGATGTTGCACACAGTGCTCGTGGCATTAACCACGTTGATATGCAGATTAGGAGAGAAATGGCAGGGGAGGGGAGGGGTTGGAAAATGGGGAGGAGGATCGGGGGAGGAGGGAAGGGAGCATGAGAGAAGGAGGGGGGACAGAGAGGTGAGTTAGATAAGGTCGGTATAGAGGGTAAAGTTGACTCGGAAGGAGTAGGAGTTGATGCAGTAGTGAGGGGTCGGGGTTGGTGGGAGTGGGGGATGAGTGCGGGAAGGCGGGAGGGGAAGCCACCAGCACCGCGCCACCAGCACCGCGGCTCACCATGAACGCTGCGAGCGAGTGCCCGGGGTCGGTCTTGTTGGCTCCGAGGTACCCCGCCTTGCAGCAGTTCTTCAGCACTCCCGGCGCGTCCGGCTTGAGGGGGTCTGCAGGCATTAAATCCATCACCACCGGGTACTGCATGCAGCTGCGTGGGGGGAGGCGGGGGGGCGGGGGAGCGGATAACAGGGGACGGGGAAGGGATTGAGAGGGTCCGCGGGCATGAGGTCCATCACCACCAGGAACCGCATGCAGGGCGGGGGATGGGGTGGCGGAGGGGTTGGTGTGGGGGGGGAGTTTAGGGGGGAGTGGGGGGAGCGGATAAGCGGAGAGAAGGAAGAGGTAGGGGGGTCCGCCGGCATCAAACCCATCACCGCTTCTAAGCCCGCATCAGGTCCTCCAGCAACGAGGCGACTAGAAAACAATGATTACAATTAACATTCCTTTGACAATAAATCAGTGACGCACCTGTGCGGGATCTTGCCCCCGGGGAATTGCAGCTTAGAACAATCGCCTTGCTTCGTCGCCACGGCTCCCTGCAGCGCACGAGCGGAGAAGGTGAAAGGGAGGAGTGAGTTACAAGAAATTCCTCAGTGTGACGAGTGAGCATGGGAGGTGAGGAAGAACAGTGAGCCAAGAAGGAGAGGGAGAGAGGCAAAGGAGGAATAAGCCAATGGAGAGGACGGAGGAGGAAGATGGGAAAGAGACGGGAGAGCGGGGATAGGAGAGGGCAAGACAGTACGAAAAGGAATATAACGCGTAGCAGTTACCCCTACAACCGTCTGGCCATCCACACTTCAAGCCATCACTCCAGCACAGGAATAACCGACCACGCGAGCAGAAACCACTTGAACCACGTTAATACCGACCGCGCGCTGTTGCTGCTGCTCGTCGTCGAACCCATTACATAATTGAGTCTTAAAGGCCTCGCAAAAATCGCCTCAAGCGAACGGGTCGCTGCTGCTGCTGCTGCTGAGCGCGTCGCCGCTGCTGCTCACCGCATATTAACCCTCGCAATGTAATCTGAGACTTCTCAGCACTGCTTACCGTCAAGTCCCAGATGTATTCGCCGTGCGTCCAATTCCACGTCAGCGCCCAGCCAGGTGGATCAATCTTGCGGTAGTGCTGGTAGTTGTACATTTTCACCCACGCGATGTAACCGTCGCCTGCCCAGCTCGTTACATCCCACACGATCGTGATGTTGCCCGTTGGATCTAGCGGATCGTACGCTTCGGCTGACGGAACGCCGGTGGCCAATAGGCATGCGGCAACCGCGAGAGCTGCGAATAGCGTGCAGCAACCGCGATGCGCGGAGAACCTCATGCTCGACCAGTGGTTTTCCAACCACTCGACTGTTTTTTTTTCCTCACGCTATTTCTTGTCAAGGTCAGTAATCACCTAATCGGTAGGACTAACGAAGTTAGTCGCAACAGCTAAATGTATCCAGCTTTGAGCTGACACAGGCAGTCTGACGTGTACAGAACTTAGGACACTGAATAATATACAAGTTGTATTTATAACTCAGCACGGAACTAGATTTGGACCAGAGACGAAGGGAAAATAGGTTAACTCCAGGGACCGAATGACAGAAAGCTCTAACAATCCAGAAAAAGCTGACAGACTCCTCAGTCAGTCCCCTAGATGCTTCAGTTTCTTCACAGATCGATCTGCTTGTAGAGTTCCCTCCCAAGAAGACAAGTTCAAGGGAATCTATTCCCCAGGGTCTGTTCTGGCGGGGCGCGTGGGTTGGCCACGCGTGGGGAGGGCTGGCGGAAGTCTCAGTGTGAAGATAGCGGAACCAGGGTGATTAGGGGGGAGGGGGAATGAGTGACTGGCCGACGGGTGACGCTGACACCAGTCAGCGGAGCGGAGCCGGCGGAAGTGAGCAGATAGCTCCGCGCGGAATGCGGAAGGAGCACGGAGATGCCGAGCGCGGAGCCGCAAATCAAGGCGTTCGCGGCTGCGTAACGGGGCCAGAGAGGGGCTTCAGACCAGTGTGCTTCAAGCGATGGTGCCAGTGACAGAAGCGAAATGTGACCTTCATCCTCGCGGCCCGTTTGGTTCGTTCCAGAAAATCGAAATGGTTTGGTGAGCCATGTGAAAACCTAAAAGATGATTACATCGAGGGTAAAAGTCATCCCACGGCTATACGTCAACCCAGACCTGCTACCGAACCTGTTGGCTGAACCAGACAAGAAGCTTGACCAAGTCGTCGCAGCGCGGCCGATTCCGTGTCAGTACGAGGAGAGCAGGCCGCCAATCGGCGGAAGCTCATGGGATGGACAGAACGTGACTGCCAGCCGCTAAACACGGTGTCAGAGCTCGACAAAAGCCAGTGATAACTACACTTCTCTGTGATAAACTTAAATCAACTTGCATTAGTGCTAGAATAGCCATTTCATATTGAAACAATGCCATCTTGACAAACAGCAAACTGCAGCATAAATACCATAGTACACATTCTATTTCTTTCCAAACCCAAAGAAACCTCCAATCTGCACACAAATAGCAGCCAAAGAAGGTATGTCAGCATGAATCCTTCCCACAACTCGAAGATCAGCTCGCAGAAACAAAACCCAACGCACAAGATGCCATCACAACCCACCTTTTGTCGCATTCCAACTCTTCCATGTTCTGTCCCGTGAGCATCAGCTGCATGAGCGCCGTGCGGAGGGCCATTCAATCCCAACACAGTGTGGGGCTGCGGAATGTACATGCCAGGATTCGCAGAATAATTCACGAGTGGCCCCCCTGGCCCTCCTGCAGCAGGGGCAGCAAAAGGATGGGCAAGATACGGTGGAGGAGGAAGAGCAGCAGCAGCAGCACCCGCACCAGCACCAACACCAACACCAGCGCCTGAACCAGCAGCAGCATAACCACCAGCACGAGGAGCCGGAGGAGGAGGAGGAGGACTAACCCCGGCCAGAGCAGCAGCAACACCTGCATTCCACTCAGTTCGCTCCGCACCAGTATTCCCAAGTTGATCTCTCACAGGCATTCCAAGGTTCCCGAACCCTGCCCCTCCCTGCATCTTCTTTCTCGCCTGTCTGTCCTGGAACATCTTAGTGTATCCCGCAGCTTCAGCAGCGTGGGCAATTTCCCCTTGAAACCGCACCTTGGAGTGCTGTGTGTCTTGGTCCCAGTCGCTGTAAGGCAGTTGGTAGGGAATCCTAGGCGCTGATCTGATAGCGGGTGAGCCTGTACTGGGTACAGCAGCAACAGGAACAGAACCAACAGCAGCGGCAGCAGCAGCGGTAGTGGCACCACCAGCACCAGCAGGAGCAGCAGCAGAAGCAGCAGCAGCAATACCAGAGGTGTCATTACCAGATATAGCAAAGGTAGATTGAGGAGCAGCAGCGGAAGGGACACTGCTGATGGCAGTGCAAGCAGTGCTGCCAGTGCCGTCAAGGCCAAAGGTAACATCGAGTGCACGCCCCGAATCGCCATAACCCCAGTCCGCAGCACTCAAATCCCCACCAGCACCAGCACCACTGGCAGCACTGGCAACACCAGCAACACCAGCAGCACTGGCAACACCAGCAGCAGCAGCCGCAGGACAGGCAGCGCCATTCTGCTCCCTGATTGGCCCACCTGTTACTGACCAACCCTCCCAGGTGAACCCCCCATCGTCCTCTTCTGGTTCCAAAGGCAACAGCGCCATGGGTGAAGGGCCGTTGCCAGAATGGCCATGGGAGGGGTGGTTGTAGGAGGAAGGCGGGAGAGCGTAGGGCGGAGGCGGAGGAGGGGGAGCAGGAGAGGAGAAAGAAGGGGAGGAGGTGGAAGAAGAGGAGAGAGCGGCCATGTGTTTGTCAATGGGGCTGCCAACCGGAGTGTGCTTATCTTGGAGGTTCGGGATGGGATAATGTGGAATGGGGGCTGCCGAGGCCGCTTGGTACGGTTGAGCAGCGGCGCGAGGCTGGGAACCAGGTTCGGGAACCGATGCTGCTACATTGCCATGTGCTGGTACAGTATTACCAGGTGCAGCCACAGTGACCCCAAGGCCATCCGAACCTTCACCGGACCTGACCGCAGCTTCGGACGATGGGGCGTCGCGAGCCCAAACTGGAGCCTCGAAAATCAAGGAAGGGTTAGCAGCAGAGTCATGGCGGTGTGGGGAATGGTGAACTGGGGAGTAGTAGCGAAGGGGCCGACGGGGAGGGGAAGACTCAGGGGAAGAATCAGACGCACTACCCGAGCCTAAGTGATAGGCTGGGGGACTGGCTCGGGCATGGCCCGCAGGCTCGTTTGCCAAAGCTGGTTTTCGCTCAGGAAAAAAAGCAGCAGCTGCGGGAACTGCAGGAGCAGGGGCAGGAACGGCAGCAGCAGACGCAGCAGGAACGGCAGCAGGGGCAGCAGATGCAGCAGCAGGAGGAGTAGACATGAGAGCAAGAACCCCCTCAGTGAGTCGCTGCATTTCCAGAGGGGAAAGATTCTCCCCCGCAGCCAGCCTGAGCCTGAGCGACTGCAACTCAGCGAGAGACGGTGGGGAGGCTGACGGCTGTTGAGGCGCCACAGAGGTTGCTACAGAGGGGATGTTTGAAGACGGTACTGCTGCTGTTGCTGCTGGTACTGGTGGTGGTGGTGGTGGTGCTGCTGCTGCTGCTGCTGCTGCTGCTGCTGGCGGTGCTGGTGGTGCTGCTTGTACTGCCACTGCTGCCAAACCTGCTACAGTGGCTGCTGGAACCCATGAGATGTCTTCACCATCCTGGGAAAACGAGGAGTGGGAGGGGGAGGAACCGCCAGACTGCATAGTGGAGTCGGACGCGATTGGCTCAAGCGCCAGACCTGGCAGGTACGACTGCCGAGACAGGGAGTTAGGCTCGCGAAGGTGGTCTGGGGAGCCGGAGAGCGGGGAGTTGTAGAGGTGGTAGAGAGGATGATCGGGTGGTATGTGAGGGAGACGGTTGGGTGATCGAGACTCAGAGGATCCGGAGGAGGAGAGGGTGACGCTTGCCTGTAGTGCAGGTCGGGAGAGAGGAGAAACAGGAACGGCGCATCAAAAGATTAGAGGAGTTTAGAGCTGATAAGAGCAGAGGGGAGGAGCAGGCAAAACACATGGAAGAAAAATCGGGAGGCGAGAATGGAAAGAGAACATGGGGGAGCGGGGGGAGTAGGGGGGGCGAGAAAGGGGTGCCCAGGAAGGTGTGAGGGACAGGAGGGAGTGGGGATCAAGAGGAATATGGGTGCCTGAATGTTGTGGCTGGGCTCAGCCCCAAGGAGCACCACTTTGTGGTGGGAAACCGCTGCCTCGTAATGTCTCCCACCACAAAGTGGTGCTCCCTGAGGAATATGGGTGCCTGAATGTTGTGGCTGGGCTCAGCCGCTCAGGCGCCAAATTGATGACCCCTCCCCCCCTCCCCTTCCCCCACCCCCCCTCCCCCCATCCCCCCCTCCCCACCGTGTTTACGATCTTTCTCTGTGCTCCCTAGGATTCCCCGCATCCCCCAATACCTCCTCCCCATCCTGGTCCCTTTTTCAACTCCATACCTGCTGACCCCCGCTGGGAACCTCCATGATCCTCCCATCTACGATTCGCATAGCTCACCTCTCCCTCCCCTTATTCGCAAACATCGCTGTGAAGCCCTCGCCATCCCCATCCCGCCTCTCCATCCCCAACCCCCCCTCTCCATACCTGCTGACCCCCGCTGGGGACCTCCATGATCCTCCCATCCACAATCCGCATGGCTCGTCTCTCCCTCCCCTTATTCGCAAACATCGTTGTGAAGCCCGCGCCGCCGCTTCCCACGCCCCCGTCGTTCTCGGGATCATGGGTCTGCACGCTCGGCGCGCAGCGCAAGCGCGCGGCTGCGGACGCCGCCGCCGCCGCTGCCGCCGCCTCTTCCGGGTTCTTTGAAGCTTGAAAATTCCATGTTCCAAACATGGGAAGCGCCGCCGAAGGATGAGGACCCTGAAGACAATGTTTAAGGCAGTCAAACAAAAAAAAAAAACAAAAAACAAAAACAAAAAAAAAGGCACGCGGATGAGGAAATGAAGGGCAATAAGTGGTTTGTTGGCAAGGCATGTATGGTTTTAAAAGACTCTTGGAGCCTAAGATGAGGGAAGGGACGATGGGAACAGAAAGTGATACAGGTTTTAAAATTCAAAATAGAAAACGATAGGCGGCGACAGAAAACATAGAATGCATGCAGGATATAACAGCGTAGCTTTGTGTGGTTTCAGGGAGCTACGACTGGAATAAGCCACGTCGCTCTCTTTCAACCGATATAAAAAATTGCGGGGAGGAGTGTTGAGGAGACAAAAAAAAAACACACACACACACACACAGAGGGCGAAGCCAAGGGACTAACCACCCCGTCCTATCGCGTAGGCACCCTCGCGGAGCTGCGACTGGAGGAGGTCGTGCAGTAGCTACCTTACAGTCGACTCCGGATTGGAGGGTTAATAAAGAGACGTTAAACAGAAACAACAACAAAAAAGAGGAATCAGTGAAACTGACCTTTCCGGACCTCAGCTTAGGCACTTTCACGGAGCTGCGACTGGAGGAAGTCGCATAGCTCGCTTCAGACGTGAGATCTTCGGACGAGGTGCTTGAGGGTGAGCGGTGGAAGGAATCTGAGTACATTCTGGCAGGCTGACGCAGAAGTTTATTGAAATAAACGGTGAATAAACAAACGGTAATAAATAGAGGCTATTATGTCAACGGTTTGTTCAGTACCTTTGCCTATCCAAATGATCACTCTCGGACGATTACTGGAAGAATGCCTTACTAAATTTGCAGGACGGGTAACAAATCCTGCTTCGAATCTAGCGGCTTGTCTCTTGCAGTGTAACTTTACTTCTTCTGACCACGGACAAAATCGACCTCCTCGTGGTACTCGATTTTATGTATTTGTATGATTGATAGTGGTGGGGGTTCCGGAGGCTGCGAGTTCCGAGAAGAAAGTTGGGATGGATGGATGGGATGGGATCGCATGGGGGGATCATGGAGAGGGGAGAAGAAACCACCTTCCTGACGTACCCTTCGAATCAAAGCAACCCTTGGTCCGACTAGGCCAGCGAGCTCGGAGTAGAGCTCATTACCGTTGTAACCTCCTCTCAAAACGTACTTTACCGTACATTTCTTGTATGCAGCCAATCAGAATCCTTTTCTGTACAAGGGGAAGTCCGTTGGGTAGGATGAACCAACAACTTAGAAACTCTTCTTCACCGTCGATCTCGATTGCTGATCTCTCATCGACCGTTATTGTGCACCAAGATTGTTCATCGGGCAGGGTGCAGCCGATTGTAGCCGTCCTTCCAACAATAATCCCTGGTCCCAGTGGTTCGGCCACGTCTCCACTTTCCTCCAGACCACACCGCCAAGTCGTTGACCGTCTGATCTGTTCGACTTGACAGCTAGGTTCATTCACACCAACCATCAAAAGGTGAGAAACTGTGGGCTTGCAGGAAAACTCGACGGCCAACGTCCGTGGCTCCGAAAGTCATTTCAAATCCACGTTTTCACTGCTTCGCTTGACGGCGTTGAGTGATTTTCTACACGTTACTGTATTGAAGTGGTTGGGCTAATGTTCAGCGCAAGCAAACCAAGATACAATACTAAAAATCTATCAAACAAGAAGCAGTATATACCTACGGTAACATGCCCTAACTGTATTGCAACCCCATATGAATGCTACTGGATTGCGATGTAAAATGGTGATTCAAGAGATAAAGTGGAAAACAAGCACTTTATGCATTGCTCCGTAAATGTGAATGCCATATTGCAGCGCCATCGGTAGACAGCACTGCACATGCCCTTACTTAAACCAGGGGCCATTCATTGGTGTAACTAGCGTGCTTCCTCGTCCAAAGTGGCGACATATGGTGGCTCTTCATCTTCCAAGAAGTGACCTCGGTGGGCATTGCTATAGAACCCACCATTTCCTGCAAAAGGGGTGGAGATGTTATGACATCAGTTTAACGTGTTATACTACAGCACAAGCAAGGCAACGTGAGCGCCCACCGTCGAGAAAAGCTACAAGGAGTTGGAAGAAGATGAGGCAAAAGGCAACTACAACGGCAACAATGAGTACTTTTCAGCCAGTGCAAAGTCCCCAGGCTTTTGGTGATAGTGGTGCGGCAGTTTGGGTTGGGTTGAGGGAACGGGGTTGAGGGGAGGAGGGAGGGGGAATGGGGAGGGTTGGGTGGAGCAGGGAAGTGAGGGGAGAGGGGGGGAAAGGGGGGAGGGGGGGGGGGGGGGGGGGTGGGAGAGGGTGGGAGGGAGGGGTGGGGAAGGGAGGAGGGGGATGCGGCTCACCATTGTCGTCATCTTCCAGTGGTAGGTGCGGTTGGAAGAAGATGAGACGAATGGCAACCACGACAGCAATGATCAGCAGCACACCGAGAATGCACGCGGTGATGATCCACACGATCTGGGTGGATGAGACTGATGAAGACGTCGGCTGCACTATCGTGATGTCGCTCACTCCCGGCCCGCCCAGCGCCTCACAGGCTGGACGGGTCGTCGTGCCACACACATCCGGGTTGTTGGAGAAACTGGGAGAGGGAGAGGTAGGTAGTGATGGGAGTCCAGGAGGGGAAAGGGGATTGGTAAGGTTGTGATGTTGCTCACTCACGACAAGCCCAGTGCCTCGCAGGCTGGCCGCACGGTCATGCCGCACAAATCCGGGTTGTTGGAGAACTGGGGAGAAAGGGGGAAATGAGGAGGAAAGGTTGTGATGTTGGTCACTCTCGTCCTGCCCAGTGCCTCACAGGCTGGCCGCGTGGTGGTGCCACACACATCCGGGGTGTTAGAGAAATTGGGAAGAGGAAAGTTGGCAGGGGGAGTGGGGGAGTGAAGTGCGGGGGTTTGGAAAGTTATGTTTTGTCATAGGTGTGGCCAGTGATTCGCAAAATGGATAGCATCAATACAGCCAATGCTTATACTACAAAGCATCACAGCACTAATGAACAGCAGAAAGGAAGGAAAGAGGCAAATGAGGCAATAGGGCAACAAGGGGGCTCACTCAATCATGACGCCGGGGGGAGGCGGGAAGAGATCGGCAGGCACACCTCCTGTGAGCTCATTGTCGTGCAGGTCACTGGCAGAGGACAGGAGAGAACAGTGGCAGAGGACAGGAGAGAACAGGGCCGGGGAAGAAGAACAGTGGCACGGAGTGAGAAGGAGAGACGGGGAAAGGGAAGAGAGGAGCAGGTGGCAAGGAGGTGAGGGATGAAGGGGTATTGGGAAGAAAGAGTACGCGTTGAGGGCAAGGTAAACTCCTGACAGCCCGGTATTTGTAGCAATAATCGTAACCCATGGTGACACGTGGATCCCCAACAACTGGCTTGTTGTACAGACAATTGCATCCCCAACGAGGCACACGCGAACGCAGGAGCTGTCCAAGGCACTCACAGAATCTTGAGAGCAGGCATGCTGCTGAAGCCCCGAGGGATTGAGCCCTTGAGATCGTTGGCTGACAGGTCCCTGGGGTATGGTGGTGAGGATGCGGGGAGATCAGGACATACGGAGGAAAGGGCCAGGAGAAGGACGATAGGGAGAAGGTCAGACGACGGGGGGTTCTGGTGAGCATGTGCTAAGAAACGGGAGGGGAGAGGGGAGGGGTTGGAGAGCTAGAGAACATTGGCTGCTCCAGGTTGATGAGTGTCCGCGGAATGCATAGTGTTTCCTACTTGTAAATCAGATGTACACTAGGCATCAGCATCAGCTGCCTCCGCACTTACAGCATGGTGAGCTGCTCTAGGTTGATGAGTGTCTGCGGAATGCCTCCCGAGATGTGATTGTTGCTCAGGTTCCTGCACACATGCACATTAACATGACATGCGGAAAACGGCCACGGAAATTTTGGCTAGAAGCAAAACAATACAGTATAACAAAGATTGCGAGGTACTCCAGGTACTTGAGAAATATACAGAGCAACAAAAAGGAACGCATTATCCAAAGGCCTCACAGCGACCCAAGCCATTGCTCACAGGTACTGCAGGTTCTTGAGCAGGTGAATGTCAGGGAGCAGCGAACCCGAGAGTTCTGCTGCTGACAGCGTACTGAGGAGGTTGGGATGGGATGGGAGGGAGCGATTTCAAGGGTTGCAGTCAGAGAAAGAGAAACAGAATTGAGGGGCGGTAGAACATGATGCTGTTCAAGATGGGATGCTGTTCATGGGGTGTGAACATGTCACAAGCCTGTGATCTTTATGGTGTACTGGTAACTTCGAGGTGCAAATGTTACTCGTAACCTCTGTCAGGGACACATGTACACTACACCCTCATCCCAAGAAAGCACCTCTACCCACAATTACTTGTAAAAGCTGCGCCACAATCACATGCCCGTGCTGCTCAAGCCGTTCTTCTGTGACCCGCATGAACCCATGATCCAACCCTCACCCACACACACAGTCACGCTCATATCCACAATCTCACCCACACCCACACATACACCCTGGCTCACACCCTCACCCTCAACCCACATGCATACTCACACCCACACCCACACCCACACCCACACCCACACCCACACCCACACCCACATGCATACTCGTACATGCATTCCTCAGCACACTCACATGCCCGTGATGCTGAAGTCGTTCTTCTCTGTGAGCCGGCACCCCACGCCCGGCCAGGCGATGGGCGCACAGGGGTCGCCCTGCCAGTTGCTCATCTCCGGCACCACCAGAGCATCGCGGATCTTCCTCATCAGCTTGACTGGCGTTGAAGGGGGGGGGTGTAGGGAGTGGGGAGGACGTTTTGGGGGGGTTAGAAGAGGTGAGAGTGGGTTGGAGTGGGTGAGATGTGGGGAAGCGACAGCAGCAATGGGCGCACAGGGGTCGCCCTGCCAGTTGCTCATCTGGGGCACCACCAGAGCATCGCGGATCTTCCTCATCAGCTTGACTGGCTGATGGGGAGGTAGGAGGCGGGAGGAACTGGATGGTGGAGAAGAGGGGGTTTGAGACAAATTATTTACTGTAGTATGCCTTGCACGCACACCGCAATTGCACCTAACTACCACTCCATTCGCAACTCAGACCTCTGCAACTACTCGTGAAACGCCCACACTCCCACTCCTTCGAAGCTCCGACCTCTAGAACTCACACTCATTAGGAGAGGGAACTCCCTTCCCTTCTTAGCTCAAAACTCGGAAACAAACTCACACTCATCCGCGTTGGTGCGAGGCCCTCTGGACACCAGCCGGAACACCTCCAACCCCGCAACAGTGGGGCCCTTGGATGCGCCCTCAGCACCCGCCAGCACAATCTCCACCGTCGATTCGTCCGGCCCCAGCTGCCAATCAACGGTCTTGAAGAGCGCCACCTTGGAAGCCTTGCCCCACTTGATCAGGTCAACGTTGTCTCCATTTGGGGTGGGTTTCCCATTGACAAAGATAGAGAAGACACGAGCACCTGCAGCAGTGACGGCTGGAGGGAGGGGGTAGGCGGGGAGTAGGGAAAGAGCCGGGAGAGGAGAGAGGGACAGTCAAGCTTGAACCGTGTGATCAGATCAATGCTGTCGCTGCCCGGGGTGGGCTTCCCATTGACAAAGATAGAGAAGACACGCGCGCCAGCAGCAGTGACGGCTGGAAGGAGGGGGTAGGCGGGGAGGAGCAGGGAAAGAGCCGGGAGAGGAGAGAGGGACAGTCAAGCTTGAACCGTGTGATCAGATCAATGCTGTCGCCGCCCGGGGTGGGCTTCCTGTTGACAAAGATAGAGAAGACACGAGCCAGCAGCAGTGACGGCTGGGGGGAGGGTAGGCGGGGAGGGAGCAGGGAGGGAGAAAGGGAAAATACTCATCAGGGAGGGTAGGCTTGAACCACTTGATTGCAACGGAAAGCCCACCTTACACTTGATCAGATCAATGCTGTCACCGTGTAAGGTGGGCTTTCCGTTGCAGAAATAGGGAAGACACGTGTACCGTCAGCGCTGGAGGGCTCGGGATATATGGTGCGGTAATGAGAGACAATGAGCAAAGAGCAAAACTCACCTGTATTGATTTCAGCAAAGTGCAGCACGATGAGCACCCGGGAACCCTAAACGTGATTTACCCTGTTTCAGGTAAAGGGCTCAGGATGTGTGGCGAGATAAAGAAAAGCAGACGCTCAACTCACTTGGATCAATCTCGGCAAAGTGCAGCACGACGAGCACCCGGGAGCCCTTGTCGGGAATGGTGACCTTGAATGTGATCTTGCCTCCAGCCGCATTGGTGATGGCTGACGAGTACAGGATGCTGGGGAAGTAGTGCGGCTCCACGTCAGCACCCTTGAAGGCTGTGGCTGGCGGCACCGAGAGGTAGGTGCAGGTAGGCTCGCAGCTGGAGGAGTGGGGAGGAGGAGAGAAGGGGGGTTGGGGGGGAGGGTGGGGGGGGTTGGAAGGGAGAGCGGGGAGGATGGGTTGGGAGGATGGGAGAGAGATGTCAGGCACAGTCGATTGAACCGACTGATTACACGACACAGAAATAGGCAGATCGGCAGGCTCGCTGCTGAGAGGAAGCAGCGAAAGGGGTAGGCGACGGGGAAAAGCGAAGAGGGGAGGCAAAAGGGAGGCGCAGGCAGGCTCGCATCTGGCGGTGGGCATGTTCAACCACAAACCACTTAATCGTACTGTACCGAGAGAATTGTAATTCAGAAGACCAATTTAGCACCACCCTGGAACATGAAGTCCAGTCAAGCACCATCCTGACGTCCACAACCGTACTACACCGTGAGGATAGTCACGACAACCAGACGGACACCATTCAGCATCAACCTGACGGTCACAGGCTCGTTGAGCAGCTTGGCCGTGGACATGTTGAACCACTGTCATATGCCACCGAACCGCACTGTACCTTAAGAAAATCCACCTTAGCATACTCTGATGTTCTCTTTACACTCGCACACTCACACACTTGTCGGTACTTCAAAGCACCAACCTGACGGTCACAGGCTCGTTGAGAAGCTTGGCGGTCGACATGTTGAACCACTGGAGCATGTCACCCAACCGTACTGTACCGTGAGGTTAGTCACGCCAACCAGACGGGACCCATTCAGCACCCATAAGACCCATGCCGCACCAACCTGACGGTCACCGGCTCGTTGAGCAGCTTGGCCGTCGACATGTTGAACCACTGGCGGTGGCCCTTGTCCTTATCCGGCAGGCTCACTCCGTCCCCGAAGCTCATGCCCTTCCCCGTCCGCAGCCGCACGTAGTTGAAGAGAATGTAGTTGGGGTCCGTCACATACGCCTCTGGGTCGATCTGGGGGAAAGGAGGGGGGGACAGGGGGCGGAAGAAGGGAGGAAGAGGGTCGACAACATGTGAGACTCGGAATCACGTGCGCGTAGTTCAAGAGAATGTAGTTGGGGTCCGTCATGTACGCGGCTGGGTCGATCTAAGGAGGGGAGGAAGAAAGGGGGAAGGAAGGTGGAGGGCGAGGGAAAAGAATGGCAAGTTTGTCTCTCTAACAGCGTGGATGGAGCAGGTAATGACGTGGAATAAAACAATTTTTCAGCCTCTCCCTTGACTTACCGGCAGGATCTCGAGGGCGTTGACGAACGCTGACAAAGGTGAGTTCGCTTGTCTCCAACGGCCGTGAATAATACCATTCGGCCTCTCCCTTGCCTTACCGGCAGCATCCCAAAAAGGACCCTCTCCCTTGTCTTACCGGCAGGATCTCGAGGGCGTTGACAAACGCCGACAGGGCGGACGGGTTGGCGACGAAGCAGACGTCCAGCTCCGCGTTCGGGCCGGGGTAGGTTACCATCATTTCGCGAAATTCGCCAGGCGTTCGCGGCGTGATCATGGCGATCTGTGTGGAGAGCGTGGACACGGCGAACTCGCGGGTCTGGAGGAGAGAGGGGGAGGCGGAGAGGGAAAGCGGAAGGGGTTGGCGGAGGGGATGGGGGAGATTGGACGGAAAAACGGGGAGGAGGGGATGGAGGGTGAAGGGAAAGAGGGTCAATGGTGAGGGGGAAGGGTCGAAAGGACATAAAAACTCTTTGCGCGACCGACATCATTCACCAGATGCACACCGTCGAGGTGGGCCCGGGTCAGTGAGAGTTTCGAAGGTCGTCCGCAGACGTTTCGCAACCATTTCGCAGGCGTTCCCAAGGGATGAGAGAGAACAGAAAAGGCACTTACGAGTCTGCCAGCGCTCACCGGATCTCCGCGTTCATTGGGGGGCCCCGGGTTGAAGAACATCCGAATGAGGTAGTGCCCGGCGGGAACCGGCATCTCGTAGCAGTTCTCGAGCGCGAACAGGTAGTAGCGCGTGGTCTTCTGGTACATGGGCATGTTGAACTCGTTCGGCTCGCCCGTGAGGTTCAGCGTGCCAGCCATGCCGCTCGTGAAGCCGGTATCGCGCGACCACTGCCGGGTGAAGTTATCCGTGAAGTTCTTCATGCCGCCGCTGTCGATGCGGATGCCACCTGCATGCAGAGTGAGGTAGAAGGGGCATGCAACAGTGTCAGAATCGATTTGACGTGCCAGTCATGCCACTGCGAGTGTCGCGCGACCTCTGCCGGGTGAAGTTATTCGTAACGTTCTTCATGCCGCCGCTGTCAATGCGTATCCCACCTGCATGCAGGGTGAGATAGACGAAGCATGCATGCTAGACGTGTTACTTGTAAGCCCGTCGTCTGGTAACCACGCATATAGCAGTGGAAGTAGTAAGTTGACGCCCGGGCAACAGAGAGGCGTGGAGTATATGCCAGCGTGCCAGAGTCAATCGGACGGCGAGAGGGGAAAGAGCGATCTTTTTCGCATGGAGATGTGAAAGCCTGGCAGCAGAATGGATAAGGTTACGGTGGAAGCCCATGGATGCTGTTTGTCATCGATATCGACGGTTCAACGTTGCCTGAAGTCTATCGAAGGGCAGCAACAAGATTGACGTTCGACATCCGCCAGAGAGAGTGATGAGAGACACGTGGAAATGCAGCAGAAATGGTACGACGTTACCAAGATCCTGAAGCTGTAGCTGAGTTAAGAAAGCTAAAGTTGCCAAGAGATTTTATGAGGAGGTTTGACGACTGAGATAAACCATAATTGGCTGCTTGAAGATCAGTGACTGTGAAATGTTCGCCAACATGTCACTGGTGATAGCCGTCGAATAGAAGTGGCTTTTGCTGTGCGAAGCCATCGTTTTGATACGTCACAGAACAACCAGATGTGACTTCGAACCTGAGAACTCGCTGCTCTGAGACGTCTGGAAACTGAACGAATTGCACGGTTCTTACCCCATGGCTTAGCCGCTGCTGGCGCTGCTCTCGCGGCGGAAAGAAGGCTCAGCGAAATGAGAAGCAGAAGCGGCATAAACGCCAAAGACGACATCATGTGACGTCTCGACATCATAACAGCAGCTACTAAATAAATGTCGGACCAGTGACTATCGAAGCGTTTAGGTCGTGCACTATGTTGAGTTAGCCTCACCACAACCCCAGGCAGCGCTACGGTCCGACTCCGAAATTCTATCAGGGTATCCTGAAAGTGCTTCTGCTTCCCATTCAAAGGCTAGTGAGAGTGAAGAAACAGAACACAGAAAAGGAACAAACAGCAAATTCGACCATCAGCAAGCAATTCTGAACCCAAATCCCGATGAAGCCCAGTAGAGCCATGCCTGGGCAACGGTAACAAGAATGTGGTCTGGGCCGGTCCGGGATCAGGAAGTCAGGTTCTGACAGACTGCGGGTCCGAGAAAAAAGACAGGTTCGGGTCATGAGCCGAACCTGACCTTGATTGTAGGTTCGCCTCGAATGGAGGTATGGCTATTGTGTCACTCGATGGGTATCGTCACTAAACACCTCTGTTTTGTCGGGCCTGTTTTCTCGGTGGAGAATCTAAATGCTGGATGATTTCAGTTCCAACACGCCGTATTTTCGGGTGAACCTAACGCCCAGTATTATAGACGAATCTAGTGTGCCTTGGACACAAGTAAACTAACTACCCATGATTTCTATCCAAGCTGTGCATAAATGGACGTTGACGACTCGGCTCGAGGTTCGTTCCGCCATCTTGCCTCCGCACCAACCAGTTTGGCATACGTTTTGCTTCATCGAATGTTGTGCGGTGCGATGGGCAAAGTTCGAAAAACCTTGAAAAAACTGTGAAGCGATTCGCTTGCGGAAGGTATTTTTTTCACGCCCGCCCGACGCAAGAAAATGCTGTACAATTATGCTGTCAGGATGCTTCAAATGCAGCACCATTTTACGTACAAGCTAGCAATCACAATACATCTGTGTTCGGACATATGAATAGTTAGTATAGAAAAAACCAGCTGAAATGGCAAACCCTTAACGCAATGTGAGCACATAGAACAGTATTAAATAAGGGGATATAATCATGGACGAGGGAATTGAGTCACAGAAGAATGAAAATTTACCTATGAAATAAGTGTTGGTAATGAATGCATGACATCATCTATTTTTCCTATTTTTACAATACGAAGAGGTTTGATGGAGCTAAGAGTGATTTGTTCCATAATGTTACGAGTGCAATTGAGTGAACGAACGAGAATTGCACTATTGAAGCAAGAATACAATGAGCGAAGGCATGTGCGAAGAATATATAGCGAAACTACAGTGGTAACGGTAATGGTCGCGCGACGAGCCTGGGACTGAGGTTGGGAAAGTGTCGAAGCGTAGGCCCGGAGCGCGGGTTACCAGCCGAGCCGTGAGGTCGGGATGCGATGTGCGAAAATGGCGGGATGAGGAATGATGCGATGGTCGCGAGTGGTAACGGTGCTGACTGAGGTGCTACAGTGATGTACGCGTTGAGCAGGGATGCGTAGTAAGGAAAAGGGAATTTCCTTACACTACCCCGCCTCCTAAGGAGGTCCACCTTACGAAAGCGCGTGGACGTCTTTGAAGTTTCGGCTGCGCAGATAGTCGGTGACGACAGGGTGGTTGTCAACTTTGTCCAGGGGAACCCAGTTGTCCTCGGTGGGTGTACGATCTTTCCAGCGGATCAGGAACTCAACTTTTCGGGCTCCTCGAGGGTCGCGAACTCTGTGGCTCAAGATTTTGTCGGGGGTGATGACTGGTTCGGTTGGTGGTCGTGTCATGCTGGATGGTCGATGTCGTGGGAGTTGGCTGGTGGATGGTACGTAAGGGCGAAGCAGGCTGACGTGGAACGAGGGGCTGACGTACCAGTCAGCAGGAAGGAGGAGGTGCGCGGTGACAGGTGTGATCATGTGACTGATTCGAAATGGCCCACAGTATCGAGGGCGGAGTTTGGGAGTGATGGGCAGGCGGAGGTTCTGAGTGTCGAGTAAAACGAGGTCGTCGGGCTGATAAGTAACGGGTCTGCGGTGGCGATCGGCGTTGCGTTTAGCGATGATATTTGATTTTTTAATTGCTTCCGCTGCCCTGGTAAGTGCTGCTTGCAAAATCTCGGCGAATTGTTGTGCGCGTGGAACGGGATTGTCGGGATTCGGTGTCATGGGTACTGTTGGGTCCTGTCCGTAGTTCAAGTAAAATGGCGACTGTTGGGTCGTGGTAGATGGCGCGTTGTTGTATGAGAACTCGATGAGGGGCAGCTGCTGCTCCCACAGTCAGAACATATAGCTTACTTATTTGTGTAGGCTATAGTGGGGTATCCCATAGGGGGTACAACCCAATTAGGGTTTCCTAGTTGTACTCACTTCGTTCATACTCATTTTCATTCTCGTTCAATTCTTCTCATGGAATCAGAGCAGGTCCCCTCCTAGGGACTGTTCCTAGGGCCCACCGAAGCGCGCCCCGAGGCGCGCGTTCTTTTTTTTTTAGCGACCCTGCGTGTCGCCCCTACCGTCGCGCTCCCGCAGCTCCCTCCTCTTACGGCCGCCCGCCCTAGTGCCCTGACGGCCGCCCGCTCTAGCGCCCGAACGCCGGCCGCCCTAGCGCCCTGACGGCCGCCCGCCCTAGCGCCCTGACGGCCGCCCGCCCTAGCGCCCGAGCGCCAACCGCCCTAGCGCCCTGACGGCCGCCCGCCCTAGCGCCCTGACGGCCGCCCGCCCCAGCGCCCGAGCGCCGCCCGCCCTAGCGCCCGAGCGCCGCCCGCCCTAGCGCCCGAGCGCCGCCCGCCCTAGCGCCCGAGCGCCGCCCGCCCTAGAGCCCTGACGGCCGCCCGCCCTAGCGCCCGAGCGCCGCTCGCCCTAGCGCCCTGACGGCCGCCCGCCCTAGCGCCCGTGCGCCACTCGCCCTAGCGCCCTGACGGCCGCCCGCCCTAGCGCCCGAACGCAGCTCGCCCCAACGCCCTAGCGCCCGACGCCCGCGAGCCGCCCGTCGCAGCCGCCCGTGAGCTCCCTGAGCCGCCCGCGCCGCCGTCCCTGAGCCGCCTGTGCAGCCGCCCGCGAGCCGCCAGCGAGCCGCCCGTCGCGACACCAGCGCCACAGGAGCCGCCCGTACAGCCCAGCAGCCCGAGCCGCCCGAGCCGCCCGCGCCGCCCCAGCAACCCGAGCCGCCCGAGCCGCCCGAGCCGCCCGAGCCGCGCGAGCCGCCCGAGCCGCCCCAGCCGCCCGAGCCGCCCGAGCCGCCCGAGCCGCCCGAGCCGCCCGAGCCGCCCGCGCCGCCCCAGCAGCCCGAGCCGTGCCGCTGTTCCTGAGCTGTGTTCCTCTGCTGCTGACCTACCCGACTCTCCCAGCCCGGTGAGACTTTCAGCTGCTGCCATGGCCACCCCCAATGTTCTTACTTTTGACGCTGAGGGGAGGGCCATTGACTTTGCCGTCTGGATTGAAGACCTGCAGCTGTACTTACTGTGTGATGCGATAGATGAGGTCTCTCTCTTTGACTTTGTCTCTGGCGCTGTCCCTGCCCCACCTGCTGATGCTGACTCTGCCGTTCGCTCCAAGTGGGCGACCCGCGATGCTGCTGCACGTCTTGCTGTGCGTCGCCACCTCCCTTCCTCTGAGCGTGCCCACTTTAGTCAGTGCAAGACCGCTCAGGCCTTGTACGACGCTGTAGTTGCACGCTACTCCTCCCCTTCCTACGCTGCCCTTAGCCGCCTCATGCTACCGTTTCTCTTCCCTGACCTCGCTTCCTTTCCCACTGTCGCTGACCTCGTTACCCACCTCCGTGCTAGTGACACCCGCTACCGCGCTGCCCTTCCTGCTGAGTTCCGCGCTGCGAACCCTCCTCCCATGTACATCACTCTCTACTTTCTCGTTACCCGTCTCCCTGAGTCCCTTCGTGTCGTTAGGGACCAGTTTCTCTCTGTCTGTCCCACCACTCTCACTGTCGACCTCCTTGAGGAGTCCCTGCTAGCGGCTGAGAAGAGTATTGTCGCTGTAGGGGCCTCTCGGGGTGACCCTCGCACCCCCATCTTTGAGGGGTGTGGTCCTTCCCCCCTGCTGCCCTCTGTCGCCTCTGCCGCTGCGGCCGACCTCACTGGTTTTGAGTCGGTCGGCGCGGCGTCTGCCCCCAGCGGCAGACGCCGCTCTGGCAAGGGCAAAGGGGGCAAGGGAGCGGGTGGAGCTAGAGGGGGCGGTGGAGGAGGCGGTGGGGGTGGCGGGGGAAGTGGGGGTGGCGGTGGGGGTGGTGGCGGGAGTGGAGGTACTGGTGGCGGCGGTGGAGGCGGAGGTGGCGGCGGAGGTGGTAGCGGAGGAGGCGGTGGGAGCGGTGGGAGCGACGGTCATGGTGGGGGAGGTGGCGGTGGAGACGGGGGTGGCGGTGGAGGCGGGGGTGGCGGTGGAGGCGGGGGTCGGAGTGGCTCGTCCCAGCGGAGCAGCTCTGGGGGTGGTCAGCGCCAGCAGCAGCAGCAGCAGCAGCAGCCGCAGCAGCAGCCACAGCAGCAGCAGCGCTCTCGCACCGTCCCCGGCCCTCAGCAGCTCCGTGAGTGGTACTTGCAGCGTCAGCGTGGTGGTGCGCTTGGTCCCTGCCCCTACGTTCTTCGCACCGGTGACCGTGCAGGGGAGAGGTGTGGAGGCGCCCACACAGCCCGCCGCTGCTTTGGCCGCCTGACCGACGCCTGGCGTCAGCAGTTTCCGGAGGCCGCTGAGATCCCCCGCTTGGGAGAGCTGTCTAGGGCTGGTGTAGCTATTTATGATCTTGATTTTGATGCTATTCTCTCTGCTATGTATGCTGTGACTGGTAGTGATGAGGATGACTGTTACCGGTGTTTCCCGCCCGACCCGGGCATTGGTACTGCCGCGTCAGGTACTAGTGAGGCTGCTGCTCTAGGTGCCAGTGCGTCTGTGCTCTCAGGTGCTGGTGAGTCTGCCCTCTCAGGTACTGTGTCGGCTTCGGCCTCTCACACCTTCACCCTTGACTCTGGAGCGTCTCGCTCCTTCTTTAGGGACCGCACCACTCTCACGCCGCTGAGTCGGCCGGTTGCGGTGT